TAATTAAAGTACTTTCTATATACTTAAATAATTATTTTTATTCTATTATTTTTTCTTCTTCTATGTTATTATATTCTTTATTTTTTATAAAAATATAATTGTTTTCATTCATTTTTCCAAAAACATAATTAGTTCCTTATTTTTTTAAATTTATGTATACTTAAACTATTTTATATATTTACTTTAAAATAAAATATAAACCAATATATGTGCTTTCCTTTTTCTTTTTCTTTTTTTTTTCATCGGAATTTTTTTTTAAAAGTTAAAGATTTTTCAATCTCCATTTCATCTATTTTTCAATAACTTAATATATATGACACTTTTAAATAAAATGTTAAGAATAATCTTATTTTAAGACTTTTTTTATTTAGAGAATCGCTTATATTAAAATTAGAAAGAAATTAATTTAAATTTTATTAAGGGAGATTACTTCTTTTCCTGTTCCTTTTTTATTTATTTTGAAATGGAAAACATGTTTAAGTTAAAAACTATTCATATGATATCTATTTATCTATAATAATCATTTGTTTTTAAATTAAAATAGTAATTAATATGCTATCTAATAAAGAATGTTATAATTAATTCTAATATATAGAAGAATTCCTATAAGATACTAATTTAAAATATACCTTAATTAGCTATTAAAAAATAATTTATTGAAATGTTTCAGAAAAAAGGACTTTATTATAATTTAAAAGTATATGTTATAGAAAAAAACTAAATTACTTTGAGTCTATTTATTCGTTTCCCAATTCAATTATACAAGTCATTATTTAAGATAAACTAATCAATAGATAATAATTAATTTAACTTAGTACTAATTAGAAAAAGGATTATTTAGTTTTTTGTTATTTTGAATTGATGGATAAAATTCAATTGGTTAAAATAAATAATAATATCATTTTTGAAAAAAAATTTTAAGGTATTTTAATATATAAGAAAATTTTTGTATTATAATTCAACTTTTTTTTTTACTAAAATATATAATATTTGAAATATATTAGTTATGAAATTAAGATGTATCATTTATTATTTATTTTTTAATAATCAAAATGAAAATAAATTTAATAATTGCTATATTTTTTCAAATAAGTTATATAATTATTTTTTATTATGAATATTTATAAAGATCATTATTTTTTATATTATATTTGATGGGGGGAAAAGGTAGGGGAAAAGATCTGACTATCGTTTTGATAAATTGTTTATTCAATAGAAGAATATAAATATGTTTAAATCCCATACTAGGTAGATTTTTCATATTAAATGATTCGATTTGAAAAAGGCCCCTTTTATTTAGAGAAACTTTCTCAGATTAAATATAAATTAAGTTGGTTTTTTTATTTTTCATCATATATAACAAAAAATATAAATGAATTTATTTATTTTAAAACTGAATTTAAATGTTTTTAAAACATATTTGTTTTTAGGAATTTTAAGAAAGTCGTTTTATAATATTGTATAGTCTTTATAATTTTTTTTATTTAAAAAAAAACAAAGAAAAAATAAAAATATATAGTTTATATATAAGTAAAATATAGAGTAATAAATATTTAGTTGTTTTTTGTAGAAATAATACTATTTTTCAAAATAATCTGGCGTAATTATATAAATTAAAAATATAATATTAAAATTAGTTATATGTTATTTATAAATGATATTATTTAATTTATATAAAAAGATATATATTTATATATATATATATATATATATATTAATATACATATCTATTTAGAGAAGTGTTCTAACAGTATATATTTTATTTTTTTATTATTTAAAATTTAATATTTTATTTTATTTTTATCAATATAAAATGAATTATATATGTAATATTTATTCACTTTTAAAAACTAGTCTATGAATAAATTATAAAGGCACCTAAATGGGCTTTAAAAATTAAAAACCTCAACATCCTTATTAAATTTTTTTTTTTTATAAAAAAAATATAAAACCAAAAACAATATTTTTAAAAAAAAAAAATTATTTAAATTAATATATGTAAAAAAGATTAAATATCAAATAATAAATGATATCCACAAAAAAAATATTAAACTCAAATTATTTCACATAAATACACTAATTATAACATAAAACTTCTTAAAAAACTACCGAATACATTTGTATATCATTCTCTAACATTTATTACATCCAAAAAACAAAAGAAAACTTCTATTTAAAATCATAAATGGACCTATGTGAGTAAATAATATGCTCTATATTAATAAATATATACGAAAAAGTCTACATTTTAATAGGCAGTGATTAATAGAATTTATTTTTAGTTGAATATGAATTTAATTAATTAAATATTATATCAATAATCTCATATTTATAATATAATAATATTAATTAGAATTTTCCTTTAAAAAATATAGGAAAAAATATTGTTTTATATAAAATTGGAAAAAATAATGAATTTTAATTTATTTTAACTTCTTATTATTAAAAATATGTAAATTTTATATATAAAAATGGACAATTTCATTTTTTGGGAGAAAAAGAATTAGATTTTGAGGGTATTTTTTTAGTTTGGAAATTTTTTTAGTGTTAAAAAAAACCTTTTAAAGTTATTTTTGGATAAAAAGAAGGCTTTTTGGGTATTTTGGAGTTTTCTTTTGAATAATAAGATTTTAGTCTTTTTTTAAGAATAGAGAGTTTATAAAATGAATTAGGGGTAGATTTTGAATTTTTAGATGAAAAAAATTACTTTTTATTAACTAATTTTAGACTATTTTATAATTAAAAAGTTTTTACATTACCTGAAGGGTGCTTAGGGAGGTCTTTGAGGAATTTGAAAGGGAAAAAAAGTATTATTTGTGAAAAAGAAAAAGTATTATATGTAGATTAGGATGGTTTTTTGGAAGAAAAAGTGAGTATAGGGGAAGTTTTGGATGTTTAGGAAGATTATAATGGGGATTTGGTGGTTTTCGAGAATTAAGGAGTATGTGTTTAGGGTAAATAAGGTCTTTTTGAGATTTTTTGGGAAATAACTTTTTCGTGTTTTGATTTTGAAAGTGAAAGAATTTTTTCGGTTTTGAAAAATTAGAAATTTTTAAGAGTTTTCGAAGAAGGTTTAGAAGTTTAAAATGTGGAATTTGTATAAAAAAACGAAATTAAAGACTTTAAGGATGTTTTTTTTTGGGAAGAAAATAGATTTTGTTTTTTATGTTTAAATTAAATATATTTTTTTGATAAAAAAAATGATATTTTTAATGAAAATGAAGAATTTTTAATAGAAACATTAGGAAAAAATGAAGGGAAAATTGAGGAAAAAAATATAGGAAAAAATCCATAATTTTAAGAAAAAAACATAGGAAATAGAGATATTTATAAAGAAAATAATATATATAATGATAATTATATATACAAAGGAATATTTAAAAATAATAATAATAAAGAAATATGGATAATATATGAAAATAAAATTTAATGTATTTAAGATAAGAGAGTTATTTTTTAAAAAAATATATAAAATTTAGGAATTTTTAAAGCATTTTTTTTTTAATTATAAGAAAAAATCATTTTTTGGTAAAAAAATAATTAAATTAGTTTTTTTTGTGTGAAAAAATATGAATTTTTATTAAATAAAATTACTTTTTAAGACTAAATATCCTCTATTTTTTTACCAGAAAATCAACCCAAAATCATTATCGGATTTTTCAATTAAAAAGTAGAAATTTATAACATTTTTTTGGTGCAAAAAGACCTAAATATATACGAAAAAGTTCAAGAATTTAATTTTTAAGATTTCGGTTGTGTCCATGATCTTTTTTGGGACGAAAAAAAACTTATTGTAGTAAACAGAAATGGCTATTTATTATAAGTAGATGAAAAAAATGAATAATTTAGGCTTTTTTTAAACTAAAAATGCCCTTTTTAGATATAAAAAGGTAGTAATTATTTAATAATACATTCTAGAGACCTCATATATATATATTAGAACAATAAAAAATATAAATTAAGGGGTTTTTCTTCATAAAATATATATAAAATAATCGAAAAATGCAATAATAATTTATATTTAATTGAAAAAAATGGTAGAATTTTTGACTTGAAATTTTAGGCTTAGAATAAAGTTGGAATTTAATAAAAATTGGATATTTTTGAAGAATTTTTAGAAAAAAATTCCGAGTTTTTATTAAAGATTTTTTTTTCTAAAAAAATCCAAAAATTAATCTTAATTTCAAATTTTGGTCAAATTTTCACTTTTTAAGGCTTTTTTCCATTCTAAATTTAAAATAAAAAATTGCAAATTTAAATTATTAATTGCAAATTAATCAAAAATACCAAAAATACAGAAATCTTGGTCTTTTTTACAGAAAATTAAGGCACTTTTTTCATCAAAATTAAAAAAAAATAACCTTATTTTGTCATTTAAGAGTGTTTTTAAGGAAAATATATAGATGTGGCTTTTTGTAAGGAAAATTAGATTATTTTTCTCGCCGATTTGGAAGGTGTTTAGTGTTTTAAATATTAGTATAAAGGCAGTTTTAGGTCTTTTTTTTTAGAAAAAATTATATTGAGTAACAGAGTAATGTGTATAGAGGTTAAAAATGAAATTTTATTGATAGGGGATAGTGTAAATAGTGTACTTTTGTATAAATATGAGTGTAAATAATTAGAAAAAAGAAAATTTCAGTTAAATATTTAGCTTGAGATGTGTGAAAAAAAACAAAGGTTTCTGTTTTAGGCTGTTTTTTGGGGAAAAGATAAAATTTTAGGCATAGATAAGTTCGGAAATGTATTTTTAAGTTTTTTTATGGATGAAAATTGGAAGGATTTTAATGGTAATTTAAGTAATTTTTAAGTTTGGGATTTTAATGAATGTGGATATTTGACTAAATATAAAAAAAATGTATATTTATGCGGATTTGGGGGTAATATAAGAAAATTTGAGATTGATAAATGAAAAAAATAAATATTTTAAATTAATTTTATTTTTTTATTTTTATTTTCTTAATATTATTTGGAATATAAAAAAATAATTTTTTCTATTTTTTTCATTATTCGCCTTCTTCTTCAGCTTATTTTTTTTTTTAATAAGCTTTTTCTTTCTTGAAAGCGTAATCATAGGTTCTCTAAAATATATACAAATATATATATACATATATGATTAAATAAATATATATAATTATATATATATATATATAAATATATATATTTTACATTAGCATTATTTGCTTTATATAATTACAACCAAGGATCATAAACAATATGGAACCATGTAAATGAAACTAAAAATTATTTATTTATTTATTTATTAAATATATTTACTTCCTAATAAGAACATTTGCCATAACCAAGGATAATATTATACATTTTGTTGTAAAAATCTCCACATTCTTTTAACTTTAGGATCTGCATTCATTATTCCTACTCTTTAAGGAAGCCTGGCTATATATAATATTATTTTATAAACTATTTTTTATATTTTTTACTAAAAGTTGGTTTAACTGTTTATGAATAAGGAATAGTTTTAATCCAAGACGGAGTATATTCTTTTATATTGTTAAATATGATTTTTCCGTAAGTCATTTTTTTATTTATATATAAATATTTTTATATAATAACTATATATTTTTTATCTTTTTTAATTATTTTTTTTGTTAAGTTTTTTTTTAAAAAAAAAATAAAATAAAAAAAATAAAATTTCTATTTTTCATTTTATTTAATTTTTTTTTTTTTTTTCCCTTTATTTTTAAATAAATATTTATTTTGATTAAAAATATCATATATATATATATAATATTATTTTTTTAAAAAAAAAATCAATTAAATTTTAAATAAAAAACATGCTTATAAAAAAAATATTAAATAATAAAATACATAATATTATTTCAAAACCATATTTAAATAAAAATTTGACTTTCATAACTATTGTTCAAGTCCTTTACTCTAAAATACAATAATCACTATACTAAATACCTTTAAAATCATGGAAATTCTACCTCTTTTTAATCTTAAAAAAGCCTATAAGAGAAATAACCAAAACAATTTTTTTTTAAATAAAGAAAGATGAAAATATTATATATAAAAAATTTAAAAAAATCGGATAAAATAGTCCAAAATTTCACAAAAACTGGTTTCTTTTTTATTATATTAACTAACGTATTTAAATAAAATAAATAAAAAAAAAGTAAAAAAAAGTACAAAATATTATAAAAATCAAAAAAAATAATAACACTAATACTATAATAATAATATAAATGAAAAAATATTTAACATAGATTAAAAAAGATTAAATCTATAATAAATATATATAAGAATATCTTATAAAAAAAAAGCCCTTAAAATATAATAAATAAATATAAGAAAAAAAGACTAAATATATGAATCAAAATGCAACATATATGAAAAAATCCTAAAAATATAATAGTATTATGAACATAAAGTCCGATATTTTTTTAATAAAGAATAATATTTTTTATACTAGTTTTTTTTTTTTTAAAAAAAAAAAAAAAACACCGAAATTATTATTTAGGTAAAAAAACCTTAAAATTATATATATAATTCAAATCCATTATATTCAAAAAAACTCTAACCATCAATTTTATTTTTCGCCCTATTATTAATAAGATTATAATAGAAATAAAGCAAAAAAATAAACTTTATATATTTTCTTTAAAGTAAATATAGCCAAATTTAACCAAAAAATACTCGATTTTTTGCTTAAAGTATCCGAAATAAGCTTCCAATCAATAAAATAATTTCGCAACTAATCTCAATAAGACATAGCAGTCCCATAAATTAAAATAATTCACTCTAAAAAATAGCGACTATAGCTATTTTAAAACTAAAAATAAGATATTTAATATCTACTATTATATTAAAAGGTTTTTTTTTTTTTTTCCAAGAACTTAATTTTTTTCTGAAAAAAGCTCCTTTAATTTTTTTTTTTCTATATAATTATTTTACAAAAAAATCCTATATGTGTATAAATATATAAAAAAAATATTTTATTAACTAATATACTGGTTAATTTTTATACTTATTTCATTTTTTTTATAAGAAATATATACCCAATATACTTATAAAAAGACTCGGATATATTAAAAGATCAACATTTAGGTATATTTGAATAAAATGTTAATAATTTCGAGTCTTTTTTATGTATTTATAATTGATATTATCAACTAAAAAGTGCCTTTATTATCTAATAATAGTTAAATATATAGTATTTGATACACATAATGTAAATTTTTGACTTTATTAGAGAAACCTTATTAGTAAAAAATAAATTAAAGCTTATTCTTAGCTAAAAGTTGAACTAAGAATAATCTTTTGACAGGTTTTTTTAGAAAATAAGATATATATTTATTCCTCTAATAGGAAAAAAAAATATGGATAGAGTGTTTTAAATACTCAATATGTCTATGATTAAATGTTAATTATAAAATATTTTTCATTAATGCTTGAAAAAAAAAAAAAAAACAAAAAAAAACAAAAAAAGATATTTAAAAATTAAATAAAAAAAAATTAAAAAAAAAATATATATACATATATATATAATGTCTGAAGACGAAGAAAATTAATTCATACCATCAAACCTTCATAAAAAAGATAATTAAGACCTTCCTAAAATTCTCGAATAACAAGAAATAAAAAAAGGTCGAAAAAGAAAACAATAAAAGCTCCAAATAGAGCTCCATAGTGATGGTTATGACTCCGAAGGGTATAAAGATGATGAAGAATATATACTTTTGGAACAAATGGACGAAATTAAGCGTCTAGAAATACTTCGGCCGCGTCTAGAAGCTCGAGAAACGCGTAGATTAGATCGAGAAATAGCCGAGAAAGCCAAAAATAGGTAGAATTTGGCATAAACATAATTACTTAATACTAAAGATTCTATAAAAATATAGAATTTTTAATAAGAAATAAAGTTAAGGTAACTAGACTATGAAAAGAAGAAAGAATAACTAAAAGAAAGCAGCAAAAATACACAATAATAAGAAATATAATCATAATATTAACCTTAACATTTATAATAAGTAAACGCAGCCCAAAGAAAAAACTAAGAAAGTGAGGAAATTCAAAAATTAATTAAGTCTTTGTGTTTAAAAAGAGATTTTCTTGAGAAAATAATACTAAGATCGAATTTTAAATAATTAGTTAAAGGTGCTTTTGTTAGAGTTTCTATAGGTAAAACATATGAAATATATAAAATAGAGGAAGTTTAAGTAATTGCAAATATATATATATATATATATATATATATATATATATATATATATATATATATATATAATATATATTGTTTTTAAATGTTTTTTTTTTATATATATGTATTCTTATTTATATACATATATTTATTACTATATTTTTTCTTTTTATTATTTTTAGGTTATTAATAATGGCATTAATTAATAAAGTTAATGTTTTTTTGAATTATATAATGGAGTAAAAAGAAGAAAAATACCTTTAACTAATATTTCTAAAGGAGAAGCTTAGTCTAATGAATTAGTAAATTATGATTTAAAGAATTTGTAGGAAGATATAAATAATTTAAGAATGAAAAAGAAAGAATTCGATTAATTACTTTCTTTTAAAGTAGAGAAGAATTTATAGGATTTTAAATAATAAACTGAATAATAGATTAATAGTAGAATCGAGAGTAAATATTTCGAAGATAAGAAAAATTTAGATATAAATGAATTAAATAAATATGCCGATTTTTTAAAGGAGAGAATCTATGAACTGGAAATGAAAGAATAATAATTTGGGAAATCTGAACATATTGTAAAAATTTAAGAAAAGAAAAAAAACTATAATAGTATACTAGAATATATATAATCAAAATTTAAATAAGTAGAACATCTTTTTGTCCCTATAGATACTAGAAATGTACTCGAAATAGGATAAAAAATTAGCGAATAATCACTTAATAGGAGAGATTAGAAAATTATAGATAAAAATTTAATTAAGAAGGAAAAATTAATTAAATTGGAATATCCTTATATTAATTACGAAAAATAATTCAAAAAATTATTAAGTTATTAAACTGCTTAGTAGTTTAAAGAAGATATTAAAAATATTCATTTAGGTCTTAAGTTAGATAAGAATATTTAGAATTTTATTAACTAATTATAACCTTTGGAAGTAAATATTAGTAGTGTTCTTTTAGGTAAAAAATGATTTTATTATATTTTATTTTATAATTTAGAACAAAAAAAAGAAATCTAAAATTATATATATATTTTAAATAGATATGTATATATATATATTCTACATTTTGTTATTTAAAATTATTCAATTAATACATTAATTAGATATATATATATAATAATTATTCATTTTTTTTTTTAAAAAAAAATATATATATTTTAATAAATTATAAAAAAAATAAAAAAAAATATTTTTCTATTTTTTTTAACATTTTAATAAATAAATAACTTTTCATATTTTTATTTTTTTATCAAAAAATGAATGCTAATAATTAATAACAAGTATAAGAAAAAGTTATTGGCCATTATATAATAGGTTATTATCATATTTTATTTTTTTGATAAAAACATTAAAAACACATATAACTTTACAAATTTTGATAAAAATAATCAATGTTATAAGCATTTAAACTTACTTTTTTTTTATCTTTAAAGGAAAATCAATTGGCTAAGGAACTTTTGGAAAAGTAAAAATAGGAACACATATAGAAACATAAGAAAAAGTGCATTAAAAAAAAAAAAAATATTACAAAATTATAATAAATTGCATAAACATATAAATATTTAAAAAATTAAGGTCGCTGTAAAAATATTAGAAAAGGATAAAATTACGGAATAAGCTGATGTAGAAAGAGTAGCTCGAGAAATTCATATATTAAAAATATTAAGGCATCCACATATAATATAATTATATGAAGTAAATAATAATAAATATATAAAAATAAAATTACAATATAAAAATAAAGATTATTGAAACATCTAAATATCTATATTTAATAATGGAATATGCAATAGGAGGCGAATTATTTGATTATATAGTTACAAATTAAAGGTATATAAATATGAGCAAAATACATAAAAAAAAATAAAAGAGTAAACGAAAAAGAATCATGTAAATTCATGTAATAAATAATTTCTGGCGTAGAATATTTACATAAATTAAACATAGCCCATCGGTATAAATATAAAAATAAATAAAAATTATATATATATATATATATATATATATATATATATATATATATATATATATATATATATATATATATATAAATATATATATTTATAATATTTATAGTGATCTTAAACCCGAAAATCTCCTTTTGGATCACGAAAAGAATCTAAGAATAGTCGATTTCGGTTTATCAAATTTATATAAAAAAGACGAATTATTAAAAACTGCTTGCGGTTCTCCCTGTTATGCAGCCCCGGAAATGATTGCTGGGTAAAAATATGAAGGTTTACGTGTAGATATATGGAGTTCTGGTATTATAATGTTCGCTTTAATATGCGGTTATTTGCCTTTTGAGGATCCTAATACTTCTTTACTATATAAAAAGATAATTAGTGGTGAATTTTAGATACCAAAATATGTATCAGATGAGGCGAGAGATCTATTAAAAAAATACTGAATGTGGATCCTTCTAAAAGGTATTTAATAAATGATATAAGGTAGCATTCTTGGTTTTAAATTCATAAATAGGAAATTAAAGAGGGTATTTTTGTGGGAAAAACGGAAATAGAAATCAATGAAGAAGTTTTGTTTTATTTATAAAATTATGAAATAGATCTTGAATATGGGAGAAAATGTATTTAAATAAATAAACATAACTAGGCGACTACTATATATTATTTATTACTGAATAAATATATCTTAGATTAAAAAAATAATAAAAAAATAATGTTTTCTAAATAGGTAAATAAACCTTTAGCAATGGAAGATAAGGATATTAAAAAATAAGAGGATTAAAATAAAAGTAAGACAAATAAATTATTAGAAAATGGAACATATGATAAAAAAAAAGATTTAGATAAAATCTTAGAGGAGGGTAAATACGAGGAAGAAAAAATAGAGACATATATAAAACAAAATAGTAATAATAAAATAAATATAATAACAGATATAAATAATAAAAATGAAAAATTAACTAAAGTTTAAAACGATATAAAATAATAAACTAAAAATAAATAAAATGAAATTGAAAAATTAAAAAATTAATAATTTTAAAATAATTAATAATAATAGTATAATAAAAATGAATAATCTTCATATGAATAATAAAAATATTAAATATTTTAATAAGAATAATAATAATAATAATAATAATAATAATAATAATAATAATAATAATAATAATAATAATAGTAATAGTAATAGTAATAGTAATAGTAATAGTAATAGTAATAGTAATAGTAATAATAATAATAATAGTAATAGTAATAGTAATAGTCATAGTAATAGTAATAGTAATAATAGTAATAATTATAATATTAATAATTTTAAGAGTTATAATAATTATAATAAGCTTAACAATAAATGTAATAATAAATATAATAAAAAAATAATAATAATTTTAGTAATAATAAATAAATAATTTTACATAATAAAAATAAATATTTACATAGCCTTATCATTTACTTAATATTTAAAATTAAATTTAAAATTAATTAAATGATTAATATCAATAATAAACTAATTTTAATATTCAAAAAAATATTTTAAATGAAAATAATTAACAATAAGATGATCAAGTATAATAAAAATAATTAATATAACAAAATGAATATAATTATTATTAAAAGACACAATTTTAATAATAAAATTAAATAGAAGATACCATCTTATAATAAAAAAATGAATAAATTTTAAAGTAATAAAAATAATAATAATAATTTATTTCTTTTAAACAACGACAATAATAATTTTAATAAGAATATGAATTATTATAACAATAAATTTTACAATAATAATAACAATTTGAATAATAATAAAAAATAGTAAATGGACATATAAATAATTTCTAAGAAATAATGCCTGTAGATAAGATATAAATTTAGTAAGAATAAAAATATTAAATAGAATAAAATTAATTTTATACTTAATAAAACGAAAAATAATTAAATTAATAATTAGATTAAAAAATAAAATAAATAAATCTATAAAAAAACTCTCTTTCTACTAACTATATAAAAAGCAATTATGAAAACAAAATAAATAAATATAAAAAATAATAAATGTATATTACAGAAAACAATGTTAATATTTCATAATAATCAGTTAATATGAAAAAAAATAACAAACCTGTTTAAATAAAAAAAGATTTTCTTGATAAAAATACAATAAAAAATACAAGCAACTTAAAAAGATATACTTCGCATGCATATAGTATAAAATAAATAAATAAATAAATATTTATATATATATATTTATATATATATATAAAAATATTATATATATAAATTTATAATATTTTTAAAAAAGCGGGTATTTAAATATATAAAGGACCCTTCCATATAAGATGTTTAACCAATCGAGATCCTAAATTTTTAATTAAAGAAATAATAAAAGTAGTTGAAATTAATAAAATGAATTACAAACCGGTAAATATTTATTAAAAAATATATCAAAATTTTATTTTTTATTTAAGATTTCTAAATTTGATATTAAAGTCGAAAAAGATTTAATTAAATTTGAAATAGGTGTTTGTATGCTTTAAAATGTAGAGAATTTATATATTATTCGGTTTACAAAAGAATTAGGAGATAATGGTAAATATAATGATATTTGTAATTATATTTTAAATTAAATATAATCATATATAAATTAACCTTTATTAATTAATACACAAAAAATATGAAAATATTTAAATATTATTTATTTTAAAGTTAATTTAAATCTATAAAATATATCAATTTTTAATAAAATATAAATAATTTCTATATATATTTATTTATTAATAAACCTTTTTTTTATTTATATATTTAATAATTAAAATCCTTAAATAATTTATATTTTTAATATATACTAAATAAAATTTATATAATTTTAAAAATGAATTTAATGATTATTTTTTTTTTAATAAAAATTAATATTTTTAATGTAAATTATTAATTATTTATATAATATAAATATCTTTATTAAAAATAATATTATCTTTTATAAAAAAATATAATAAAAAAAAATGGATTCTTAATAAAACGTAAAAGCTGAACTTCTCGAATTAGGTTTCGAAGAAAATTATATAAATTAAGCTTTATAAATAACTTAAGATAAGCAAAAAATAATCGAATTAATAATGCAATATTAAACCGAATGTTTAAATCCTTAATATTTATTAAAAAATAATTCCAGAGGAAGTTCTAAAAACATTTAAATATGCGTTCAAAATATGAGTTATCCATTAGGTGAAGATTGTCATAATTACGTTTATAAAATGGTAGATTACTTTATTTTTTTTTTTAATTAAAAGTAATAATTTAGGTATTTTTAGTAAGAATGGATTTGAAAATGGGCGTTGGAAAAATTGCAGCTTAAACTGGACATGCAGGTATTTATTTTTTTTAATAAAAAATAGTATATATTTTTATATATATGTGTATTTAGTATTAGGTGCATACTAATAATTAGAATAAACATAAGAAACAGAGAGTTTATTAAGTGGTTGGGAAGAAAGTGGATGTCCGAAAATAGTTTATAAAGTAAATTCTAAAGAATAATTACTTGAATTAGAAAAAAAAGCCACATAATAAGGACTAAATTCTTATGTAGTATGTGATGCAGGAAAAACATAGGTATAAATTAGATTAATCAATTTTTTTTTATAATTTTTTGTAAGGTTGAACCTGGAAGTATTACTGTTTGTGCAATTGGACCTGGAAAATCAGAATTAATAGATAAAATAGTAGGGGGACTATAAGAATTATGAAACTTTTATTATTTAGAAATATAAATAGAATTTTTATTTTATTTTTATAAAAAATAAAATAATAATATTTAATATACAATACAAGTATATTTTTTATTATCATATATATATATATAAATATATATATATATAACTAAGTATATATATTATTTTATTTATTCCTATTATTTATTTTTCAGAAGGTTTTTATTATATTAAAAAAAAAATAAAAAAATTTCATCATAAAAATCTTGAAGATTTTAATATTTCTTTAATTTAAAATTCTTCTTATAAATATTCTCTTACATCATCTAAACTACTTAAATAATTTAAACTTTCTTATATTTCTTTAAAAGATTAATCATCATTATTTAATTCTCCAAAATAAGGAGGAATCGGAAAAGCTAATATTTAAATTATTAAAAATTATTATAAATTTTATTTATTTTATATTTAATATATATTTACCATTATCAGGAGCTGTCCAAAAATTGATTGGTTAATTATCTATATAAACGACTTTTTTCATATCTCTACCAAGTCTTTATAAATCTTTTACATATTCATCCATATCTTCCGGTTCGTAAATAACTCTATCGCAATCTTCATTTGTAAGTATATGTGCGAAACTCTTTTCCGGGTCTATTAATTCTAAAACTTTACTACAATATTCTTTAACGCCTCTCGTAAATAATATCGCTTCATGATTTTCTCTTATATATTTCAAAAAATCATCTAAATAAGGTCTTTTATATACGCTTACATATGTATCATATTCTTTTAATTCGAAATAAAAATCATGATCTCTTTTTTTTTTATTATTTATTCTTATTTTTTATAAAAAATACCTTAAAGGGGCATTTAAATATGCTTCATGCTCGTCTGGTTAAAATGTATGCACAAGAATATCATCTAATTCTATTACTAAAGTTAGTTTTCCTTAATATTTGGGGTCTTAAGGGGGTAATAATAGATTTTTATGCTTATTTTTTTCTCTTAATTCTTCTATTAAAAAACCTAAATTATCCCATTATGAAGGATTTTTATTGGCCTCTTTTTATTTTTATTCTTCTTCTTTTTTGTTTATGGGCTTCTTATTAAAAAAAAAATTGTATGAAATTCTCATGTTTTTTAGGCTTTTTATGCCTGGTTTTTAATTTATAAACCTAATGAATTTACTCAGTTTTATCATGTATATTTTTTTTTATTATTTTTATATATATCTTTTAAATTTGATAAAAAATAAAAAAAATATTTTTTTTTGCTAAAAAGGAATTTTAATAATAAACAAAAAACAAAAAAAGTAAAAAAAAAAATTGTAATTTGGAAATTTCCAAAAATAAATAAAAAAAAATTATATAAAAAAAAACTAAACTTATTTTTATTAAGAAATAAATATTATTATATAGTTATTATAAAACATTTATCAAAAGTAGTATTATTATATTTAGGAAAATATAGAAAAAAGTTCACATTAAATACATAATCATATTTATTATTTGTAATTTTAATATTGCAAGAAATACTAAAATTATAAACTATTTCTAAAAATTTAAGTTTAAAAGATTCGATTTCTCATATTAAATTAAATCTGATAATTTTATCTATAACTTATTTTATGATATCCTTTATAAGAAAAAAACAATGTTTCGAAAATAAATTTCTATAATTATTCTTAAGACAAATAAATTAATTTGAATAAACTGAAAAAATTAATTCGATAAAATAAAACAAATCACTAAATAAAATAAATAAAAGAAAAAAATTACAATTATCTAGTTTTAAATACTATAAAAAAAATTTATATAAATATTTTTAAAGTAATTACATTAATATAAAATAAAGAAATGAAAAAAAACTTATTTATTTTATAATTATACTTAAAAGATAAATAAAGAAGGGGGACAAGTATAAATTAAAAAAATTTATAAATAAGTTATATTTATTTATTTTTATTTGATTTTTTTATATCATTCAAAATTTTTTTTGTATATAAGCTTAATAATAATAATTAACTTTAATAAGTTAACAAAAAATTAAAAAATAGAATATATTAATTTTAATATTAAATAGAAAAATAAGTAATTTATTTTTTTTAAAAATAAATTGATTTTAAAAATGTTTTTCTTTATAAAAAAATAATATATTTTTAAATTAAAAATCTTATAAATAATATTTAATAATTATATAAATGAAAATATAAAAATAAAAATTATATTGTATTAAAAATATAAGTATATATTTATTAATATATATAAATATATATATATTTATTTATATATATATATATGTATTTATAAATATATATATATATATTTATAAATACATATATATTGATTTTTAATATATATTTTACAATTTTTTTTTTTTTATTTAATACTAAAAATAAATTCATAATTGATATAATTATAAATAAATTTTTTAATTGCAATTTATTCATATTAAATAAAAAAAACAGTCAAATTTTAATTTTATATAAATTCATCTTTATAATAAGAAATTAATTTTATAAAAAAAAATAAGATAAAAAATAAAATAATATTTTTAATATATTTACAATTAGATTTGATTTAAATATATTATTAAATATTGAATTTTTAATATAAAAATAAAAACATTAATAAATATAATATATATATATATATATATATATATTATATATATATATATATATATATTTTCATAAAATAGATTTTTTCTAATAATTATAAGAATTATTATTTCTATTTTCTTATTTAGATATATAAATTTGACTTTCATTTAATTTTCCTTTCGCTTTTAGTAGTTTATTTATTAGAAATTTTATTTCATTTTTTAAAATTAAAGAACATTCTTCTTATTCTTCATTTTATATAACAGTGTTCATATGTGATTTTTTTAATTCGAATTGTGTTTTTTCTAATTATTATTGAATTTCTTGATACTCATACTAATTTTAATTATCCTCATAATAATCCTATATACAACCTTATCCTTATTTATTAGGGCTTTATAAATTATGACTTTAATAATTTTATTAAGGCAAAAAAGAAGATAAACATTATTAATGAAATATTTCATTGTCTACTTCATCTTGAATATTTGGGTATATTTCGTATTTAAAATGACTTTTTTCTTATAGTTATTATATTAAATTTTCCTGTTCCTTTATTTTTTGAATATTTAGATTATTTTCTAGTAAAAGCTCCTAATATTAAACAAGAAGTTTTTAATATTAATTATTTATTTTAAAATTTTTCTAATTAAAAATCATATATTTTTTAATATATATATAAATATTTTTTACTTATTCATAACTATTAGTAATGTCTTAAATTTATTAATCAAAAAATTCTTTTTATTAATGAATTTTTTAATTCAATGTTTAATTATTTAATATATCTATATTATTTCTTTCAGATTTTTTTTCTTTTTCCACAAGCATTATCTAAAGGTTTTTTATTAAAGCTTTTCCTTATTTATTTAATCTTTTAAACTCCATATTTCTATTTATAAATTTTAAATTGTTTATTTTTATTTGCTTATTTATTCATTTAAATCTTTACAATTTTGTTCATAATTTAATTATATTTCTTTTAACAATTTTCCCTTTTTTTTGAATATTATTATATTTAAATAATTTTTATATTATAATTAACATTTATGCTTGAATTTGATAAATCATTTAAATAGTTCATTATTGTTTCATTAGTTTTAGTAAGATTTTCATCACGCTTTTTTTATTCTTAAAGTTCTAATTTTAATAATTAAATACTTTATTCGAAAATTGCTTTTTCTTTTTTATATTAACATTCTTTTTGAAAAATCTTATTTATTTTTTGTTAATATTATTTATTTTATTTTTTACTAATTTTTCATAATCTTAATTTTAAATCATTTTTTTTTATAAAAAAAAAAATTAAATATTTTAAAATATAAATAATATATTTAAATTTTATTTTATTTAATAATAATTACTATTATTACTAAAAATTTATTAAATAAATAATCTTTTTCAAGAATAATTAATATAATATAATATTTTATTTTTTTTAAAGTTAAAATTGTTTCATTTTAGAAAATATATATTTTATTTTAAAATATTTATTAATTAATTTTAAATATATAATAAATAAAATAACATTATTTAAATATATTAAAACTTTTATTTATAATATTTATATATATATATTATTTTATTTAGATTTATATTTTATTCAAAATAATTAAAACAAAATATTTTTATTATTATTATTATTCAAAAACAAAAAATATTATAAAACAATTGTCTATAAAAATATATATAATGTCTATAAAAATCGATTTATTAAATTAATTTTTAAATTATTTTTAATAATAATAGTATGTCTGCCTCTTTATCATTATCAATATTTTCTTTTAATATTACTGATTTTAAAAAATATAAGGACAATTTACCTGCCCATAGTTTTTAGTATAGTCTAAATATATAAAACTTTAAGATAATCGTTAAAAAAAATGTCTTTTTAATGTAAATTTAAAAAGCAACAAAATTCTTAGTTATTCAATTATAAATATATTATAGTTTAGTTCCTTATTTTAGTTAAAAAATAACTATTCTGGAATAAGTAAATACCGAATTCGAAAAAACAATTTATTAATAATTATCTTTATTACAAAAATAAATTTAAAATCAAAAAGAAATTCAAACAAAAACTTACAAAAAAATAAAAAAATTAACAAAAAATAAAAAAAAAGTTCTTTAAAGATAAATTTTTATTAAATTTTAAAAAAAAGGATAATATTTATTATTTAAATAATTTAAAAAATAATAATATATGTCATTAAATTAATGTTTTTCTAATATTAAGTAAGATAATATTAATATTTAATTATAAGTCTAATATTATCAAGTATATAATTGGAAAATATATGATTAATTATTATGGTCTTTCGAGAATATATGAATATTTGAAACAAATATATTTATATAAATATTTTTTTTATTTTTTTAATATTTTTGGTTTATTATAAATTTATTTTATTTTTTTAAAAAATTAAAAATTAAAAAAAAAATTAATAAATGGAATAAGTAAATAAGGAAAATGCGCTTTCATATACTTATTGGGTTAGAGATTAACCGGATAATAAAAATAAAAGAGAACCTTAAAAAATAGAACAATATTAAAAAGAAAATGCTTAGTACAAATTATATTTATTATTCAACATTAATTTTTTTTTTTTATAAAATAAATAAAAGAAAGCAAATATCTTCTAACTGGAATTAAGTAGGAACATGGTTAATACTTTTATTTTTAATTAAAATAGCAAATAATTGATTAATATATAAATAGGGAAGAAAAAAATTAGAATTATAACCATTAAAAGATATAATTGAATAAAATATTAAATAAAATCCAATTCTAAATGATGATGAAACAATATAATTTTATGCATTATCTAAATTATCTGGAGAAGTATAAATTATTTAAAAAAATACATTCGATTTGTAAATATTTTTTTTATAGATTTCATTAGTTCTTGTAAGAAATAAAAAAAAATAGGTTATAATCTTTAAATAAATTTCAAATATAGAGGTATATAAATATAAAAATGTTTTTAAATTATAAACTATTGGAACTGTAAAAAAAAAAAATAAGGTTAAAATGATTTTAAAGGGGCAAAAGGAGTTTTTAGATTTTAAATTTATTAAGATGATGGAGAAAGAAAAGTGAATAAAAATTTAAAAAAAGTTCTTTTTTTAAAAAAAATAAATTAAAAATAGTTTTAAGTAGAAGGTGCAGGAGATATTTTAAAAGAAGAAAGTAAGAAAAAAGCAGAATAATCTGCAGAAAAACTGGATAATTTTATTAAAGAAAGTTTATAAAAACTACAATATTGATTTTAGGAAAAAACTAAATATATTTATAATTATATATGTCTTTATTTATTAATAAAAGAAAGAAAAAAATATTATGTGCCTTTTAAAACAATTACAATTAAAAAAAAAAAAAAATAGGCAAAAACTTAATATAAAATTTATTTATTTTCTTTCATACATAAACTAATTTAATATTTTAAAAAGAACTAGGAAATTATTGTATTTATTAAGAAATTTTTTAATCGGAAATATTAAATTAAATTTAAGTACTTTTTTATTAAATTGAT